TACGCAAATGTTACAAGACAAAGGTAATAAACTGACCCGAAACTCAGGACAGTCCTGCAAATAGTCCTCCAGGGTGTCTCCAGCATCAAGTGCATCCCCATTGGTGAAAACAACGATTATATGATCCACTATTTGCCTTCCTAATAATATCTTTAACGTATGAAGCGTTGATTGTTCCTCTTCTGTTAATCTATTCCTCACCGAGAAAACCAGAAGCACTGCATCAATTCCATCTCTAGCCAGACATAAGCATCTAATGATTTCTCTGCTTGTAAATTCTGTAGTCGAGGAAGCACTAAACAGACCTGATGAAGCAACATTATATTAATAACTAATCTCAATCTATGTGTTGAGAAAACGTTGGGATTTGATAATAGATAAGGGTCACACAAAACTCACCAGGAGTATCAATAACATTGATGGTCAGACCATTTGGTAGCTCGGATTTATGTAGCTTACACTCCTTTGTAATGAATCTCCCTCTTGCTTTTGACAGGAACTTAGTTTCTCCTAGGATGGTTCTTTCATGTGTCGATTTAACCTCGGCTGTTGCATCATTTGTTATAACATTAGTTCCAATACTAGAGAGTTTTTCAACAGCAGAAGAAGTATGATGGTTCTTATAAATGCACGATTCTCACTATGTATCTCTCTAGTTGTGTTTCATATCTTAAGATATTTCATATGTGGAGGTGCAAGACAGATTCACACTCCGTTTGTTTTAGCCATATTAAACCAGTTAGTGAGAGAGAAAGAGATCCAAGGATTTAAGGGAAAATAGACTTACATGGACCAGTTCTGAAATCATCTGCTACAAGTCCTCCACCCATTTGATAGTTGACAAGTAAATCTTGAGATACAGATCAAGAGATTTTGAAAAGAAACGTAAAGGTAGAAGAAAAGGAGTTCTATAGACAAACACAAAAGAGAAATGGAGAAACTAAAGTTAAACTTCAAAAAATCAAATGAAAAAATAAATAAAAAGGGTAAACAAAAAAGAAGTAATAGCAACAGTCTGTATTGATGAATAGCTGTTGAATGTGTTTAGTACCCAATGAGAGTGAATGGAGACAAGCTTCCATTACTAAATCCTTTAGAATACTCCTGTTTTATTTGGACGATAAAGTCTCAACTTGCATAAAAAGCTGTCCTTTGTTCCTTCTCGAGACATATAACTGTCGTTTGAATAAAATCAATTAAACATCATTATCATCATTTGAGAGTGTAGTAGAGACTCTTGATATTCCTTCCTTTATGTATTCTTATTCTTGAGAAACGAGAAAGTCTAGCAAAATTTCACTTAAAAGTTAAAACCCATTTTACATGTCTGTTTAGATTCACTTGTTCAGCAGAAACAATACGGATTTCAAATGGGTGGAGGACTAGTAGCAGCAGATGATTTCATAGGTTATCCTTCAGGTAAATCTTTGTTTCTTCAAACTTTTTGAAGCCCTATCTCTCCCTGATAAAATGCAAGCAAAGATAATTTGTCTTGCATTCAGGCTTATGGAACTAATTCCAGATAAAAGTATGCCCATATATAATTTTGTTCATTAACCTTTGTAGAACTGAGAACGTAGTTACTGTAATTTAACTGCTAAAGAACTAGAAAACAGACGTTCTATATGATTTAGATGCTTAGATATTATTAGATCTAACTTGTTCTAGTTCATAATAATAATAAAAAAACACAAGTTAGAGCTAATAATATATGAATGTCTTTGGATTTGACAGAGCTACCAATGGTGTCAGAATCCTCTCCAGAGGATGGATCTGTTTTGGAGGTCAACTGCGATTTGTCTTTAGAGAAGAAACCTGCAAGAACCCTAGTTCTGGTCGGGCGTTCAGGCAATGGGAAAAGTGCGACAGGAAATAGCATTCTTGGAAGACAAGCTTTCAGGTCAAGAGGGTGTGCGTCAGGGGTAACTACAGCCTGTGAGCTACAGAGTTCGACGTTGCCAAATGGACAGATCCTCAATGTTATAGATAGTCCTGGTAATGTGTCTGAAACTAAAAACATTAAACCAACGAGTTATTTATGATATTTTCAAATCTTGGTGCTGCATGCAGGTCTGTTTAGCATGTCTCCATCAACCGAGTTTACATGCAGAGAGATTGTAAGGTGCTTGTCTCTGTCCAAAGATGGAATTGATGCCGTGCTTGTGGTATTTTCCTTGAGGAACAGGCTAACAGAAGAGGAGAAATCTGCTCTTTTCGCGTTAAAGATCCTTTTTGGAAGCGAGATTGTAGACTACATGATCGTTGTTTTTACAAATGAAGATTTCCTTGAGGATGAAGGTGATACATTGGAGGAATATCTGGAAGACAGTACTGACTTCAAGGTTACTATTGATCCTGAAACCTCAAACGGAAGATTTATCACCTTGTTTTGCGTTTCTTATTAAATTGTTTGCATGGTTTTAGGATATTCTTGTAGCCTGCAATGACCGCAAGGTGTTGTTTGGAAACAGACCCAAAGCCCCTGAGAGTCAGAAAGCTAAGCAAGTTCAGGAGATCCTAAACTATGTTGAAGAAGTTTCAAGGAAAAATGGGAAACCGTATATGAATGATTTATCTCATGAGATACAGGTGAGAAAGAGAAAAGGAAATGAAATTTGTTTTGATAGTCTTTTGGTTACTTCTTGGTTTACTATATTTCTTTCATCTGCTTCCCAGGAACACGAGACTGCATTCCAAGAAAAGCAGAGAGAGGTCTTGGAAATGAAGAAGGGCGGCTTCACGGAACAAGATATGTCTCGAATGATTGAAAACATGAATAACTCTCGTGATGCCCAGCTGCTTAATGAAATGGTGGAGAGGGTAATGTGTTGTGATTTATGAGTTTATATAGTAACTCTTATGACAATTCTCCTGATTTCTAAACATGCCTCTGAATATGTTGCTTAGGTTGAGCGTAAGCTGAAAGAGACAGTAGAGAAGCTAGAGCAGCAACTGAACGAAGAGCGAGCTGCAAGACTTGAACTGGAGAAAAAGGCAATACAAGTTGAGAAACGTTCAAGTGATGTTGCTAAAAAGCTTAACAAAGAGCAAGCTGCAAGACTTGAGTCGGAGAAAAAAGCAAACGAAGTCAAGAAACATACAAACGATGTCATTAACAAGCTGAAGAAAGATCTATCGAGGGCTGAAAATATGACCCGGGCACTTCAAGGAAAGGCTAAACAGTGCATCATTATGTGATTGAATTTTGTGATCACATCCATTTGTGTATTTCCAAAAAATTGTTTCTCTTTGGGGGGTGTTGGATTCTCTGCATTATTATCTTTGATGGATAGTTTTATTCTAAGTCGGGTTAATTTTATGGTTTCGTTTACAACAAAAATCGCTTTCCTTCTAATGGTCAGTCACACCTGTCAAGAATTACTGGTTAGAGAGTTATTAGCTTAATAATTAGCAAACTAATTAGGAACCAAAATATCAAATGGTTAGTTCTACAATCGTATCTCTTCCTACAAGGAACATGCATACTAGAGTTTAAAAGAGAAAAATTGGATTAGTGGGAATGGTTCAATTATATTTTCAAAACAAATTGGTTTCAACTATAATTTCAAACCATCAAATATGAATGTTCCTTGTAGGCCAAGTGGGAATGGTTCAAATATTTTCAAAACATCAAATCGGTTTAGCATGTCTAGAGAGATGTTAAGGTGCTTACTCTGAACAGAGATGTTTGCATTCCTTTTATATAATGGTCTTCTTTTTTTTCTTTCTGATTTTGCCAAGAAAGTGATTTCTGTCAAACAACTACTACTCTAGAACTAGTTTTGCTTCTCTGTATTTCAAACAAAACAGAGTTATGCAATTTCTGCATATTCAAATAATTGTTAAGATCACTTGGTCTCACGATGCATTGGTGGTTTATGTCCTCATTCGAGCAAACTCATTAAAGAACCACAATCGTCTCTTGAAAAGGCCACACTACTCCACAAAGAAGTCATAACTCATAACACAATGATTCCATAATGACAATGTACTAACTTTATTATTACAGACCACATAGGCATAAATAACTCGAACAGATTGTTAAACTAGATCATCAAAGTAGTAATTATCATCATCTGAAACAGACTACAAAGCTCTGGCGATAGGGTCTCCTCCAGCTGCTAGGCTTTCCCAAATCCACTCATCGGTGACAACTGCTTCCGACAAGCTGCAACCGCCACATCTTCCTGGTGCGTCTTCAGGCTTTGCAGTGAGAATGTTCTGATCCGACTCTTTATGACGTTGGAGAGAAGACGCAAATTCAAAGTTATTTCCTGTTATGACCATCATATTTGTCAACTCATGTGCATGAGTCAATCTCCATTTGTAAAGTTCCAAATGCATCTTTCTAAATCTCTCGTATTTGCTCCCTGAAAAAAACGTAATATATCATAAGATAAAGTAGAAAAAAAGAGGGCTTTTTCTTTTTTCCTTTAGAAAAAGAACAGAATTTTCACCTTCGCAAAGGAGTTTGATTCCTGCAGATTGATAGTAATCTTGGGTCTGATACTTGTCACCATAAGCCCAGATTGTGACCTCACCAAGATAACCCTTTTTCACAAGAGCTGATTTGATGTTCTTGGCAACCATTTCCGGATTCAGACCATCTGGGATTGGGCAATCCTCAATGTCCCAGAAGACGCATGTCTTTGCCTCTGCCCAAACGCAAATATACAGTCATATTAAGATCCATCAGTTTTATATTCGTTAAAGACTAGTCTGGTTCAAGAGAGAGAGTGAGTGAGAGTATACCAGCGTATTTGTTGCTAGGACTCAAGGAAGCCATCTGAAACAGAAAAAAGGTAAATTAGGGTTTAGGAGAAATGTGACCTCTACTCACAAAATCTATACAAATCGAATTAGGACAAGTGTGGTCCGGTTTGTGTTTTCTCGGATCTGATAAATGTCAATCCTTTAGTAGAAACTCATAATTTACAAAATCATCACTAACACAGACAACGAAATTAATTTAGGGCTATGAGAACGATTCCTTAACTGGATTCCGTTTCCTAAACACCACAATGAATTTCGATTCTCAAACTAAGACTCTAAGATCAAATCCTCTCGACTAATCTAGAAATGGTGGAACAAGTACTAGACTTTAGCCACAAGTGCGTTCTACTTTGAGATTCGAAGAAGGAACGAGAGAAAACTTACACTGAAGAAGAAACCACGCGAGGAAGATCGGAGAAAGTCGGTAGTAATGTGAGGAAATCAATCGGCGGCGTCGATTCTCAGTGTGAGAACAAAAATGAGCTCCTCGCTTGATAATCGAGATTTAAGTAGAAGCGACGTCGGTTTAGGTACAAATCCTAAATTACAAGAGATACATAACGATGCCGTTTTAAGGGATTGACATCTGAATTTCGAAGTTTTTGTATCAAGTAATAATATTTTGAAAACTACTATTGTATGGTTTCAGGCAAGTAATAAAACCAAGTTACAACTTTGATAGTTGGAAAATATTAAGTCTTGTAAGTATAGATGTCCTCGTAAAATATAGTAACCGAGAGAGATTTTTCTTTAGTTGCATGTCAATTTATTTCTTTATCTAAGTATTTGTTACTTTTATATGACCATGCATCGTCTTCCTCTATGAAAAATTAAACCTTATTCATAATCAAACCGTTGCTAGTAAAAAAAAAAAAAACCATTGTAAAACATTTTAAAAAATTCAGCTTTGTTCTGGTGAAAGAAAGAATTTACATGTATTGTTTCAAGTTCATATCAGTGCTGCCTAAACTCTTCATAGTAAGCAATCCGTTCAAATGTAACTTTTCTTATCTTGTTATGCTCTATATCATAGAAGAAATTAGATAAATAATGGTCATATGACACAAATTCTGGGTCCAAAACCAAAACGAGTCTCACGGAATATTGAAAGAACAAAACTTAAGTTTCATTCCAGACTGATACTCTGAGACAAATCAGTTGGAAGGTATAGTAAAAAAGGAACTAGGCTGAGAAATTGTTTCGATTCATTGATTTGTGTCCGCACCAGAAAACGGCCCGGAAAAGCGTCCAAACGCCATTTTTTGGGGTCCAAACGATATTTTACGCCTAGAGCTCTTTTGGAGCTTCACGAAAAGTGGTTGGTGGCAGCATACGGCCTCACGGTCTTCCAGCTACGCATTTTGGAAGTTTCAGATAGAAATACAGAAAAAAATTAACAAAAAAAGGGGTGCAACACGAGGACTTCCCGGGAGGTCACCCATCCTAGTACTACTCTCGCCCAAGCACGCTTAACTGCGGAGTTCTGATGGGATCCGGTGCATTAGTGCTGGTATGATCGCACCCGTTTGTTTATGACGCGCAAACGCATATATGCCTTTCCGAGAGGATCTTGAACGTTTATTCGGCGGCGTAGGCCCCACTTGATGCTTAGGCCCGATCCGGAGTCCTAAGTGACCCTTATGTGAGAGGGAGGATGGATGCATCCAAAAAACACTATGCATAGCACTTTCGATTCATTGATTTTGTGTCCGCACCAGAAAACGGCCCGGAAAAGCGTCCAAACGCCATTTTTTGGGGTCCAAACGATATTTTACGCCTAGAGCTCTTTTGGAGCTTCACGAAAAGTGGTTGGTGGCAGCATACGGCCTCACGGTCTTCCAGCTACGCATTTTGGAAGTTTCAGATAGAAATACAGAAAAAAATTAACAAAAAAAGGGGTGCAACACGAGGACTTCCCGGGAGGTCACCCATCCTAGTACTACTCTCGCCCAAGCACGCTTAACTGCGGAGTTCTGATGGGATCCGGTGCATTAGTGCTGGTATGATCGCACCCGTTTGTTTATGACGCGCAAACGCATATATGCCTTTCCGAGAGGATCTTGAACGTTTATTCGGCGGCGTAGGCCCCACTTGATGCTTAGGCCCGATCCGGAGTCCTAAGTGACCCTTATGTGAGAGGGAGGATGGATGCATCCAAAAAACACTATGCATAGCACTTTCGATTCATTGATTTTGTGTCCGCACCAGAAAACGGCCCGGAAAAGCGTCCAAACGCCATTTTTTGGGGTCCAAACGATATTTTACGCCTAGAGCTCTTTTGGAGCTTCACGAAAAGTGGTTGGTGGCAGCATACGGCCTCACGGTCTTCCAGCTACGCATTTTGGAAGTTTCAGATAGAAATACAGAAAAAAATTAACAAAAAAAGGGGTGCAACACGAGGACTTCCCGGGAGGTCACCCATCCTAGTACTACTCTCGCCCAAGCACGCTTAACTGCGGAGTTCTGATGGGATCCGGTGCATTAGTGCTGGTATGATCGCACCCGTTGTTTATGATGCACACGCAAACGCATATATGCCTTTCCGAGAGGATCTTGAACGTTTATTCGGCGGCGTAGGCCCCACTTGATGCTTAGGCCCGATCCGGAGTCCTAAGTGACCCTTATGTGAGAGGGAGGATGGATGCATCCAAAAAACACTATGCATAGCACTTTCGATTCATTGATTTGTGTCCGCACCAGAAAACGGCCCGGAAAAGCGTCCAAACGCCATTTTTTGGGGTCCAAACGATATTTTACGCCTAGAGCTCTTTTGGAGCTTCACGAAAAGTGGTTGGTGGCAGCATACGGCCTCACGGTCTTCCAGCTACGCATTTTGGAAGTTTCAGATAGAAATACAGAAAAAAATTAACAAAAAAAGGGGTGCAACACGAGGACTTCCCGGGAGGTCACCCATCCTAGTACTACTCTCGCCCAAGCACGCTTACTGCGGAGTTCTGATGGGATCCGGTGCATTAGTGCTGGTATGATCGCACCCGTTTGTTTATGACGCGCAAACGCATATATGCCTTTCCGAGAGGATCTTGAACGTTTATTCGGCGGCGTAGGCCCCACTTGATGCTTAGGCCCGATCCGGAGTCCTAAGTGACCCTTATGTGAGAGGGAGGATGGATGCATCCAAAAAACACTATGCATAGCACTTTCGATTCATTGATTTTGTGTCCGCACCAGAAAACGGCCCGGAAAAGCGTCCAAACGCCATTTTTTGGGGTCCAAACGATATTTTACGCCTAGAGCTCTTTTGGAGCTTCACGAAAAGTGGTTGGTGGCAGCATACGGCCTCACGGTCTTCCAGCTACGCATTTTGGAAGTTTCAGATAGAAATACAGAAAAAAATTAACAAAAAAAGGGGTGCAACACGAGGACTTCCCGGGAGGTCACCCATCCTAGTACTACTCTCGCCCAAG